TGACTGTGGGCAAGGCAGGAAAACTCTAGCTACAAATGGTGCCCAACATGTTGGCAAGAGTTTCCACCTAAAACCTGAGTAAAAAGATTCTAAAATGGAGCAAAAAACAGTTCCTAGTTGTCTCTTTCAAGTTAGCAGCAGCCTGTGTGTTTAAGCTACTATCTACTATGGCGGGTTCCTGGCGTGTGCACTTGACCTGCAGTATGGCAGGAATGAGGCCTCTGCAAGTGGCACATTAAGCTGCATCGTGGATTTAGCCTTTGCTAGTACAAAACAAAAAAAGAGGTTTCTGGGTGACACTCTGCTTTGATAGAAGCATAGACCCACTATTTCTGAGAGTTGATGGCTCCCAGAGCTGGCAGAAAATGTATCACTGCCATGTTGGGAAGGTGAAATAGGTGGAGCCAGCAGCCACAGCGCCAGCACCATTTCAGTCTTACAATGCTGCAGTTTAAAGCAATAGGCTCAAGGTAATATAAAAAATAAGCCACGTAAAGATTGCTACCACACAGAGAATCTGGATTATGTTCTCTTTGATATTCGTAACTGAAGAAAAACATTTGATTGCAAAAGCTGTTGAGTTATGCCAAAATGTATATTTTAAAGGTACCTTGACTTCAAAATTTGGATGTAAGGATACGTTGCTTTGGAAAAGAGGTTCTGCTTTTGTTTCCACAGAAAGCCAGAGGCTATGGATTTATTCCAGATTAAGATACATCAGGTTTGACCAGCCAAGACCCCCTGAAAGGTCTCAGATGACACCAAGGCCCAGATGATCCAGCATCCAGAACCGTTTCAAGGCAACTGGCTTAGACGATACACCCTCATGGACTACTCCATAATTCTAAAATTTTCTTTGTGTCCCCATAAGATACACCGCCCCCCTCCAGCAGGAAGTAGTAAGAGAAGCTACGCCCAAATTCCCAAATATACCAAGCTGACTTTGGAGATGTGTAAAAGTTAAAACCTTCCTCTATAAAAAAAGAAAAAGAAAAAGAAAAGGGGAAGTTCTGTGGGGTGGTCTGTATGTCAAAATACTCTGGTTGGTCAATAAATAAAACACTGATTGGCCAGTGGCTAGGCAGGAAGTATAGGCAGGACTAACAGAGAGGAGAAAAGAAAGAACAGGAAGGCAGAAGGAGTCACTACCAACTGCCGCCATGACAAGCAGCATGTGAAAATGGCGGTAAGCCACGAACCATGTGGCAAGGTATAGATTTATGGAAATGGATTAGTTTAAGCTATAAGAACAGTTAGCAAGAAGCCTACCATGACCATACAGTTTGAAGCAATATAAGTCTCTGTGTTTACTTGGTTGGGTCTGAGCAGCTGTGGGACTGGCGGGTGACAAAGATTTGTCCTGACTGTGGGCAAGGCAGGAAAACTCTAGCTACACAGCTCTGTAGCAGAGTGCTTGCTTAGTCCTCATGAGACACTAGATTTGATCCCCAACACTAGAAAAGAAAACAAACAAACAGAACCAGAAAACAAGTTTCTGATTTTCAAAGAAAAATGAAAGTCAAAAATAACCCTTGCAAAGGAAATTTGCAGTATTTTCATTCCCACAATGCTGGGAGTTGTCAATGATTTTATTTTCCCTAATGAGGCAATAACTCAAGAGCTGGTCCTCTTCTGTCATAAGACAAATATTATGAAACAGAACTGTCATTTGTCTCAGAGCTATGCTTTGTGCAGAGGCGTATGTGTATGTGCTTGTAAGGAAAAAAAGGTATTTTCTCAGCCAGGAAAAAATGAGCTGTAATAGACTTATTACTAAGTGGTTTATCATAAAAATCTCAGTCCCAGAAAAGAACGCTAAAGGTCATATGGTTCATTCTCCTGTCTACAAATTTGCTCATTCAAAGCAGAAGGTTCAAGTTAACACATTTTAGAAGCCTCTAAACATTATCATTTCCTAGTAAGACCTCTCTTCCAAAAATGATCTGTGACACATACATTCTTCCAATTGATTGTCTTTAGAATTTCATGACATTGAGAAAAATTGCACACATCCTGTACTGGGTTATAATGTTCTTAGGAAAATGACGTGGTGTTTTGTTTTTCCACAGGAGAATGACTGGCTCACTTTCCTGTTTGATTTTGCTGCCATTTACCGTCTGTAGGACAATAGTACTTCTCCATGTGTTCTGCAGTTCATTATGACATTAATGGCCCTCCAAGCACCACACTGCCTTGTCTATGCCGATGTGTGTTTCTCACAACCCTACTTCGTAGATAGTACACAAGGCATGTGACTTTCTCTGGCCAATGGAACATTAGAGAATATGACATGAGCTGGTAAAGTGCTTGTGCATTGAGGGCTGCCTTCTGTTTTCTTTTTTGCATGTGCATATGTGTTTGGTGTGTGTGTGTGTGTGTGTGTGTGTGTGTGTGTGTGTGTGTGTGTGTGTGTATGTATGTATGTATGTATGTATGTATGTGTGTTTTCTTGTATGGGGGCATGTGTGTGTAGGTACATGTGCACCAATTTTCACATGCATGTGAAAGCTCAAGGCTGATGTTGAGAGTCTTCTCCCATTTGTTCTCAACTTTATATTTTGAGCCAAGGTCTTTCACTTGAACCCAGAACTTGTCTAATAGGTTATTCTGTGTAGCCTGCTTGCTATGGAGATGACCCATTTCTGTTTCCTAAGCATTAGGACCACAGATGGGCCACTATACCCACCTTGCATTTGTATAGATGCTGTAGGGCTGAACTCCAGTTTTTCTGTTTTGCTTTTTTTTTTGATGACTCCCATAAGATCCTTTTGCAAGATATATGTGGCACATTAACATCAATAATAATACAGACATATAAGTTATGCCATCTAAGAACATTATGTCCAAGACTGAAATTGCATAAAATATTACCAGGAGGAGAAACCCATAGATGAACACTTTGTTTTTCTCCTGTAATCCTGTCCACTTAGAAAAAGTCTAACCTTGACCACAGCCAACTTTCATTCTATTTTGCCTTAATATTACAGAAGCTAAGCACTGCAGGAAAATAACAACAAAACAACAACCTATTGTGACAAATTTCTAATAGGCAGACCTTCAACACTACTGATTAATTACATTTCTATTCTATTTCTATTGAAGTAAATAAATTTTAGACAAACATTTTATACTTTATTACCTTTTCTTATATGTCCACACTCCCTATCTCCAGGAACATTGATTAAAATGGAAATATTGGTAGGTGGTGAATTTTCAAAAACGTTGAAAATGTGAGTTTTAGCAAATAGTGTAAACAGTATTGTGATGAAGGTAGAAAACATTTCCATCATCTCAGAAGGTTCTTTTAGTCCTGTTTGTAGATGTATTTTCATTTCTCTTGAGTAAATAGTTGCAATAGATTAGCTGAACCAAAGGATAACAATATTTGCTTAGAACTTACCACAGATATAGGATGTAGTAAATTTACCAGCACCACAGCAGACAGCTTTACAGCAAGTTTCTCTGACAAATACACAATGGCTTTTTGCTTGCCATTTCAAGTCTGTGTCAACCTCCAGTGGGATCCAGGCACAACTCCCCACCAAGGTCTGATTCTCATCTCTTGTAATGTACTTACTTCTAAGTTTTTCTTTCTATGGCTGCTCTCTTCAGCCCTGGAGACAGTGGCTTGTTCCCCAATCTGATATTTCTCTAGAATGTTTCACTTCTCTTAGTACATAATTCAGTTACTAGTTAGCAATTATTCACATTAATATTTCCCTGTACAGATCACTGATATGGCTCCTGTCTCTTACCTCAATTTAATTATCAAACCTCATTTTTCTGTTGTGCTACAGGCGATACTCTGAAAAACAAAGCCAAAAAGGTAAGAGAATGACAAGAAAAAGGTCTTCTGAAATATCTGTCCCTTCTGGTTTCTACTGTTGGTAGCCAAACCAAGCTGCTATTTTTATTTGAATAAATGCAACAGTATGGTATCAGGTTTCTCTACTTTTTCATTTGCTTTAATGAAATCTGCAATTTAGAGGCATCTGCAATTTAGAGGCATCTGCAATTCACCTATATCTAAAGCCAGAGCGAGCCCTTAATAGAAATAAGTTTATATTATTATATTTTGAAGTGCTCCAATAGAGACTTCTGGTTTTGGTTTAGAGAAGTATGGCACTATAGGGTCTATCTCACCCAACTATAGAGGGACAATTTAGACAAATTTAACTGCAAATTAATTTTTGTTGAACCTTCAGGCAACTGAGGTACTAAGGCAACCATATAACTACATATTTGAGGAAATTCAAGTTATATGGACATTCGAGGAAAGGGAGTTATAGGCCATGAACATTTGCTAATTTGGGGCAGATGCTGCTGAGTCCCATGTGAATTGGAATGGGGATTTAGTTACATGCTTTTGGTCAAGTATAGGTTAATTAGAAGACATTATCCTTTTGTGTATTTTTTTCCTATAAACCTTACTAAGAATTTATAAGGCAGTTCATATAGAATTCTGATAGATTGTCCATCATGCTACTAGTTAAGGGAGAAGGGGAACAACAGTGACTACTCAAAGTCTATTCAATCCTCATCATATTTCCTACTTCATCTACAAAATCCTATATTTATATGGGGAAGAGCAGTAAAACAGTCTCATTTTTTGGCACCACTGAACACTTACTGCAGCTGGGGAAGGCAGCAAATTGAAGAAGCCCTCCCACCTTTGAAGGAAAGGTAAGAATATGCACACATCAGGCCAAACCTACAGAGACGATAGCATTTTCAAAAGCTTTACCTGCAAGACTCATGGATACAACACCTTCCTAAACATGAGGCTTAAGACATCATTAAATAATGCTACTATCTCCTGGCCTTACCACGGTTTGATAAGTATCAATTTAAAATAATAGGAGAATAGAACTGGTAATATGCAAGAGACATAGTCTCTCTGTGGTAGAACAAAAACAGAAAACACATAGCCAATAGAGAAAGAGACATTCAGAAAGTAACCCCAAGCAAACCACCCATACTCTAAAGAGTAGATAGAAACAGAGCAATTTAAAACCTGTTTCTGACCAAGGGTAACTATAGTAATAACAACAACAACAAAAATCTCACACCATGACCAGGTTAACAAAGACTTCTGCTAACAGCTTAGAAGGAAATTTATGCTAATTTTCAAGTATAAGAACATATACTTTGGTATTTATTGGTCTTACACATGTTAGTAGCTATCAGCATAGAAATGAAGTATGATAGAAAAATTGTCAAGAATATATACCCTCCCAAGACACAAAACAATCACCAGCACCAGATTTAGATGTGGCACACATGGTAAAAAAAAAAAGATGGAAAGTTAGTATAATTATGACTAATGGAAAAATTAGAAAACATTTCTGCAAAAACATAGAAATGATAAAAAACAATCAAATGGAAATATTAAAAAAATAAAAACCAATGTAGCACAAATAAGCAATGCTTTTGTCAAATGGCCTTGACTGGAGTGGTAAACTGGAGTATCAGAAGGAAAACCGTGAACATAGTAGATTAAATATTTGTAGAAATATCTTACACCCTAAATAGTGCTACATACACATGTGCAATTGTAACACTTGGGTGGCCGAGGCTTGAAGACAGTGAGTTCAGATTGTGCATTTTGGCTGTGAATTTGACGTAAATTTGAACTATATGACTTCCAGGCCACCTCGGGCTATAAATCAATGCCCTGTCTCACAATTCACCTCTCCAAAAGGAAAGCAATAATAGTCTAGAATTTTCAAAGATTAATGATTATTAGAAAATAATAGATTCAAGGGGCCCATAGAATACCAGAAGGATGAATAACACAACAGACACATGTATTATATTCTATGTGTTTTAAAATAGGCCAATGCTACCTCCAAATAATATTACCTCACATCACACTAAGGATAAATAGCACATTTACTTAGCAACAAATGTTGCTTCAAACAGAATTATCAAAAACTGTCTTATTATTTACACACTGAAGCTTTATTTACCAATAAAGAAGAATGGAATGATGTCATTTGCCAGAAAATGAATGGGAATAGAGATCATCAAGAGAAATAAGGCAGACTCACATAGAGAGAGACAATATCACATTTTGTTTCCCATTTATATAATGTAGATCTAAAGACACACACACACACACACACACACACACACACACACACACATCATGGACGTACAAGGGAAATAATTTGGGGATAAGAAGCAGACAAGTAGGAGACAAAGGAACAAGAGAGGGTAATAAAGGTGAGTATGAACAAAGTCCAAGATATACATGTATAAGAATATTATAATTGGAACTCATTCTATTGTATACTAGTTAAAAAGCAGAAAATGGGAACAATAACCTTTATCAATCGTCATATTTATTTTAATGTGTGCCTATACATCCTGCTCGTTTGTTTGAGACAGAGTCTCATTATGAAGCTATTGGTCTTCAGCTTGGAATTCTCCCTGCTCAGTGTCCTGAGTGCTGGAATTATAGGTGTTCATCACCTCATACTGATTTAAATGTCATTGATATGCCAGGAAGTAAGGCTTAATTCTTTCTCATTCCCCTTGAGTATGGTGTAGTCTTAGTAACTGTTTCTAATGAACAGAATGTTGGAAAGGGTGATGGAACATTGTAGAAGAGCCTGTCAACAGACCATTTAACCAAGAGGTCAAAGTTAATATTGCCTGGGCTAAACCACTGATGTCATGTGCATGCTTTGATGTTACCTTACTCATAAATCCACAATATCAATCAAATCATGAGATAACTTCAGAGAAACCTGACTTGAGGGGCCTTGTACAAAGCATTTGACCAGTACTCTTCCAAAATGTCAAGGCTGGGCTGGGAATGCAGGTCAATGGTAAAACACTTGCTTAGTATGCACAAGGCCCTGGGTTTAATGCTAGGCACTGAAAAACAAAATCATCGGAATCATATAAAGTAAGTACTAGGTGACTAACTCCACATGGAAGAGAGTAAAATATCATGGTAACTAAATATAGTATCTATCCAGGATTGTATCCTGCTATAGAAAATTTATATTATGTGGTGGCTTGAATGAGAAATGTCCCCCATAGGCTCAGGCATTTGAACACTTGGTCCCCAGTCGGCAGTGCTGACTGGAGAGGTATAGGAGATGCGGCCTTGTTGGGGAAGTATGGCACCAGGGGTGGGTTTTAGGGTACACAGCCTCACCCTACCACTAGCTGACTCTCTCATTTCACACTTGCTGTACAGATGTGATCTGTTAGCTCCTGCTCCTCTTGCCATTCCTGACACCACGCCTGCCTGCTGCTATGCTATTCCACCACGATAGACTATTATCCCCTCTGGAAGCTGGGACTGTGCTCCCAAATAAACCCTTTCCTTCCTCCAGCTGTGCATGGCCAGTGTTTTATCACAGCAACAGAAGAGGAACTGAGACACATTAGTTCAGAAATAGATGAAAGTAGAGTCACTCTAGTGTATGCTGTTGCATGAATGCTAATTTCCTAGTTTGAATCATTGTACAACAGTGAAGTAGAAAGTTAGCATTATAGGAATCTGTAGGAAAAGCACATAATAATTCTCTGTACCATCTTTGCAGCTATTTTAAAATTTTATTCATTATATTTGTGAATTTCACACATGTATACAATGAAATATTTACCCCATCTCCTCTTCCATATTCCCCTACATGTTACCTTACAATTTCATGTAATTTTTTTTTGCTAACCCAATAAGTCCAATTAGTGCTGCCCATATAAGCATGGGAGTGGGGCCATTCCCAGAAGCATGGAAAATTTACTAATAATCCCATCCTCTAAAAAGTCAATGATTCTATCTCTCCCAGCAACTATCCACTGCCACTGACTCTTCAGTAAAGGGGTGGGGCCTGAAGATGACTCCATCTTTGTGCAGATTTTGGCTATCTTGGTCTTGTGCAGGTACACAGCTACTGTGAGTTGATGAGTGTGAGGGCCATGTCACATCCAGAAGACGGCATTTCATAACATTCTCCTGCCTCTTCTAGCTCTTTAAATTTTTTTCTGCCTCTTTTTCTACAGTGTTCCCTGAGCCTTGGTGGTGGAGTTAGTGTAGATGTTCCATTTAGGGCCCAGTCTCTTATTCTCAGTACTGTGACCAGTTAAGCATCTGATTGCTGTCTACTCAACAATGAAGCTTCTCTAACCAAGGCTGAGAGAAGCTCAGGTCTAGGAGTATAAATATAAATATTCAGAATATAATTCGATAGCATGTTCATTCAGAAAATAAATAAATAATAAAAAAATACTAGCTTCTACCTTATGATCTGCCTGCCGAGCCATGGGCTTTTGACTGGGATTACAGTGTGAAGCATGGAATTCCCTTCTGTGGAGCAGGTCTCAAATCCAGTCAGAAAGTAGTTAACCTGTGGCAGTCATACCAATATTGTATCATTGGGAACATCTTGCTTGGGAGGTCAGTATTGTAGCATGCAGTGTCCAGCACTAGGTTAGACAATTGATGTTGTTTCTCTCACAGCAGCCAACAAAGCACATTCTAGCATGAGGAAAGCTAGCTAGCAAGCAAGTAAGAAAGTCCCCAGTCAGTTTGAGTTTTCCTGCAGCCAAAGTTGTGGGTTTTTTTTTTCTGCAATAAGGCCTTCTCATGTAGGGCAATAGCAATAGCCTGTGTTGTTTTGGAAGTCTGGGGCATCTCTGACCAGTAACTTACAGGAATGTATCATATGCCTTGTACTGTGATTTTCATGTAATAATCCATGTCTTCTGGGAGTGCTTTTGTCTCCCCATACAAAATAATTCTGTTGGAACTCCTTTTTTTATAAGTTGTATTTTGAAATTAGTTTACCAATTTCATAAAGCTTTTTCATA